ACATAAAAGACCAAATCCCTTAAGATTCTCTATCTAATTATGTCTACAAAATAAAATGCTTGCTTAGAATGGGATACGATATACGTCGGACAAACATAGCCAGAGAGAAATCAAAATCAGAAGAAATCAACACCGTAGAGCATCTGTTCGACGACCGAAACATCCAGTTGAAGTAGAAAAGCTTGAAAGATCATTAGCGGTAGGTGGTGGCCTACACGCTATAGAATCAGGTCACAAAATTGATTTTGACAATATTGAAATAATTCAGAAACCACAAAAAACGTCTAATATCATCAGAAGCACTTCATATCAAGTGGAATCCAAATTGTCTGAATAAGAATGATTGGCTAAGACAGAATTTGACCTGGTTACAACACCCCTTTCCCCATGAAGTGACAAAATCAACACGAATGTGATACACAATTTCACTATGTAAACACACACTGCTTTTACAACTCTACTCACTTATCAAATCCTACAATGTACACCTGGTTGGTTTTGTTATCTTTACAAACTGGCCAACTTGACAACGCAAAAATGCCGCCATACTGAGGAACGATGATTAAACTACTGTATATATTATAAGCTGAGAATTTGTAAATTCCGGTTTAATAATACTTTGATAAAGGCTATTAGCAGTAGCATGAAATAGAGAAACGTTAGTAAAACAGCAAATATCGTTTTGTTATTCATTCATTCACTGGAAAATACTTAAAAAAACCTTTATTATAATGAATACTATTTATTTATTTATTTATTTTAATAACTTCAGTATGCGGCCTTTCATCACCTCTCATTTTGATAAGTCCATCCATCTATACACGTAAATTAAATAAGCTCACTTTTTAAAAAGTAAGCAGATATGACGATTTATAAAAACTTTAACTGAAAGGTTGAACAGTGGCACGCTCAAGTCACCACTTCCGGTACATTTTAGGTCAAGTATACGTGTTTTGACAAGTCTACAAGTATATAGATAGAATAAAGCGTTAAAGGGTCGTACATTAACCTTCAACAATTACTATCTTAATCGAATCACATGACAGTGAAAATCTTTTGAAAAACAGTTTTTTCTTGAATAAAATAAAAATAATCATTCAGTGTCAACCTTAAGCAATTCAAAGGGACAATATAGTCAGTGACACGTGAACCGATTTTCTATTCTTTTATGTACAGTACTGTTTTTATGCTAAGGCATTATTTCAGAAAATAATTGTAACTAGATATTTAATAGAAGAAAGTTACAGAAACTGTTTTTTTACCGTGAGAGTTTGAGGTACGTTGGTCATTAGGTTGTAGCAAGATTACTTCTCATTTGTCACTGAGCTTTATCGCTTAATAATATGTCGCTGATAGCTGATTTTGTTAAGTTTCTACAACGAAATATACAGGCAAGTAGATGGAGCAGCTATGGGTTCTCCCTTGGGACTCCTCCTAGCCGACTGCTTCATGGCTAGCCTAGAAAATAACCCCTTATCATCAACTATCAACGCCCTCCCTCTCTACAAGAGATACATCGATGATACTTCCATTATTTGTGATGAGAATTGGGATCTAAAAAACCTACTTCAAATCTTCAATGAAGCCCATCCAAACATCAACTTTACACTTGAGGCTGAATCCGACTGAATTTTCCACTTTCTCGACGTCCATCTGACAAGAAACGCTAACAACTCTCTTAAAAGGTCCACATACAAAAAGCCTACATGGAATGGAAAATTCATCAACTTCCAAAGCTTCGTGCCCTTAAGCAGAAGGAGGAACGTGATATACGCTATTTCCTCGAGGATTCAGAAGATATGCAGCGAGGAAGTAATTGATGAAGAAATGCGTATTCTCCGAAAAACCCTGATAGAAACGGTTTTCCGCCCAGGTTCATTGGCAAGGACCTCAAATCAAAGAAGACTTCCGAACAAGTCGAATACGTTCCAAAGGAAATACTTCTACTTAATCTAGAATTCAAAGGTGACATTGAAGCAGAAATCCTTCGGAAACGCCTCGGCAAATCTCTGAAGAAAACATACTTCGCCGCGAGCCTATGACTGACGTTTATCTGCAAGAAACTGTTCGACCAAATCGCGAAAGACAAGCTGTCGCATTAGGACACTTCAACTTGCATATACCAGTTTACTTGCTCTTGTGGAGCTGAGTAGATCGGCCGTACCACGCGCCAACTTGAAAAACGCGCTAGTGAACACTATCCAGCCTGGCTAGTAAAAAGGAGATCGAAAACGTGTATGTAGTTCAGTGACAGAAAACCTAGTCAATTCAGGACATTCAGCGCCATTCGAAAAATCCTTCAAAATAATATATCAAACTTATCAAAGGGAGTAAAATTAAGACATCTTGGCATAGCCGAGTCACTATCTATCCAAAAGCTCAAACCCACGCTATATATCCAAAAGAAATACGTTCAACCCTTGTCCCTGCTCTTGCCATCATAAACAGGTAATTCTTTTAGTAATGACTATCCCATTGCCTTCCTTATCTAAAATTCCTGTTTATTCATGTTATTTTTAATTTTTTTTAAATTCCTATTTACAATACCATATTTTCAAATCCGAACTTCTTGTCTATTTTATCATTTTATTATTTCGACATATTTAGTCCCTGATTGCATAAACAATTATTCGTCACATTAGTTATGATCCCACTAGATTTTTTTATCCAAACATCCTGTCTATTTTTGTTATTTCTACATTTCTCACCTCGAATTGCACAATATGTCAATCTTCTCAGTAATTATGATGCCACATCGTTTAAGTTTTTTATCCTTCCGCCTGTTTATTATGTAATTTGAATTCCTTATTGTAATTTTAGTAATTTGACCGTTGACTGGAAATTATTCTGGAACTTTCCCATCCATTTGTGATAATTACTCGAATGTACAGCTGTCTAGTTGATGACTTCGTCGAAAAGAAAATTTTCTTCACTACAACCCTCTTTTTAGTGATTCCTATGATCCAATGTGTATATTCCTTGATTTTGTATCTGTTGGTATTTGCTAGCGAAAAACACCCCTTGACTGTAAAAGATATGTTTATTCTATCGCAAATTCCGAAGAATGTCACTCAGATTTACTACAAAGTTCTTACAGTCAAACTTAGTTTTCTGTATAGATGAACTGCAAATATTACAACGGTTTATCCCTCATCTTGAGTTGGTGGTACAGCGGTAGAGTACCTGCCGACCACGCAGGTGGTTCGGGGTTCGATCCCGGCCACTAACACACTCCTTTACCTCGCTAAACCAGTAATAAGACTAGTAAAGAGGGAAGGTTGGGCATGAGGCTAGCAACCCCACCCCGTAAAAATAAACACCACTGCTATCAAAACTTCAAGCCTCTAGCTTGAAACCCTATGTTCCACTGGGAACGTAAAGGAATAAAAAAATATATATAAAAATCCCTCATCATGTTTATTAAATAAGAAGCACTGCATTTTAGTGCGAACAGATGACGAGAGTAATCGCATATGAGCATACCGTAGGGTTATTCTAAAGCACCTAGTTAAGTAACCACGATGACTTTTAGCTAAGTAAGGTAGCATTTGTTTTAACTATCTGAGACTTTTCAAGTGATGGCTTACACGGATCAAGTAAGATCATGAAATGACATGATATAAAGTACTACTGAATTCAGTATTTTTTGGGCTTCTAAGTGTTGCCATCTCAAAATTAAAAACTCGACAACATTATACAATATTTAGCAAACACGATGCCTTGTGTTTTTTGGTGGGTGTAAATGAAAGAAAATCTTGTCGAAGAGTACCAACCAGTTAAAGATCGAAAATCAAAAGAAATCATTAAAAGAAAAACACCAGCATTGTTGGTGAAGATTTTTTTATTGGTGAATGAGAAAAAAATACTCAAAGCTACAAGTTACGAGCTTCAGGACCAGTTCACCAAAATTCGAGTGCTACAAATCAGTCATATTCAAATTTATGTGTACTTACTATTCTATCGCTCAGTAGGGAATTCTTGCTTGCTTCTAAGGATGTTTTGTGTAGTAGGACACTAATGTACTATGTTTTTTAATTCCTACACCTTCCACGAGACGATAGCTCTTCAAGCTTTGAATTTTCACTGGCGATGACATTGCTTTAACCAGATACGGCTGTTAACCTCATACTTAAACCTACCTCCAAGTATTTTAAGTGATGTTAAACCACGAACAAAAAATAAACTTAACTGAAATTCTATTTAATTCAATTTGAATTTTCCCATCGATTGATTGGACCAAAGTGTTCGGTCTCAGGTTGACATATCGGCTCCTTGTGCAGATGCTTCGACGATGTCTGGTTATGTAACTTGAAGTCAACTGGTGGATGGTGACTAGCAGTAGAATCCAGAACAACACGTATTTTGTCTTATTCAGGATTCGTCAGCCAGTGGATGTACCTGAATTCCTCAGTGAGTGATTATGTTCCCACAGAGGCTCGAACCCAAAGCCCATAATTTCAAGCGCAAAAGCGTCAAATCTAAATGAATTAAATAATTAATAAGACCCGTTGCACATACGTGGCTCTTATGGCTCAAGTGGTCTAGTGGATAATGCTCTGGCTCTTGAAACTATGGGCACTGGGTTTGAGCCTCGGTGGGGACACCATCACTCACTGAGGAATACAGGTACATCCAGTTGTCGATTCCGAAATGAGGCGAGATGCGCGTTGTCCTGGATTCCACTGCTAGTCACCATCCGCTAGTTAACTTCAAGTTGACTGATATTTTGTTGGAAAAGAAAGCTACGGTTGAATGACATTCACTCACATTAGTTTATATCTGGAAAGCTGTGAAACCTACACCTAGTATTGGGGTTTAAACTTGGTTTACAAATATGTTCACTGCTTGACTTGACAGATGTGACGGACTTATCTTAGTAACGTGTAAATCAAAATTTTTACTAGATTGTTGATATATGTCAGATGTACCGGCTATTCACTTGTTAGGGGGGGGAACAAAATTCAAAATACGACATAAGGCTAAACTATCAGTATACTTACCGGGTAATGATAACTCCAGTTTTTGGATCAATACGAAAAGCTTGAGAGTTCCTTTCATTTTTCAATGAATATGTCAATCTCTTATCAATATTATTCGCTGTTAGTTTAAATTCATTCTTTAGACTTTGACTGTTTGAATTCAGCAAAGAATTCGGTTTATCCATATAAATAAATAAATCAGAAATATCTGTAGATGCAGGTAGAATATCCAGATCATAGGCTTCAATTTGTCCAACACGAGTACCTGGCAGTTGATTCTCCCGTATACTAAACAGATAACCACCAGTAATACCAAGTTGTGGATGAAACATCGGTGGATTATCGTTTATATCTAAAATCTTCACAGTTACTGGACAACTGGTGCTCAATTTTGTCGGCTTCCCACCGTCTTTAGCAATCACCGTGAACTCATGAACAGAGATTTGTTCACGATCAAAGGGACCCCAAGCAAACAGTTGACCAGTCTTAGAATCAATTGAAAATCTACCCTTTAACTTGTCTTCAGATTCTGCTGACAGTTGGTAAGTGATTTCCGCGTTGACTCCAATATCTTCATCCTTCACTGAGATAAATGCAAGTCCATTTGGAGTGAACCAACTTCGATTGGTCATAGTGATATCTAGATGGTCTTGTTCTCCATCATCTTCATATAATGCAAATCGATACATTTGTTCAATACACTGTGGTGCATGATCATTGGCATCAAGGACATGTATGATAATATTACTAGATGTAATATGATCTGTTAAATCTTTACATTCAACGGATAACATTATTCGAGATTGTTTTTCACGATCCAACTTTGTTGCTGTATACAATCGATATTCATTAGTCGCGGAATCTTGATAAGACAGACGGAAATTCACTGCATTTGGACCAGTCAGTTGACATTGTGAAATACTCTGACTAATAATCACATCAGGATCTTTTACTTCAATTAAAGCTACCAGTTGTCCAGCTGGTTGATTCTCTAGAACTGCTATTTCTGTATCATGCGACTGAGGATTATTACTTGAACTTGCTGAAGTGTCTTGCAATGATTGAATAGGATGAATTCTTATTTCAGGTGCTTCATCATCAATATTCTCGACTTCAATTTGTATTGTTGTATGTCCAGTCTTTGCATAGGCTATGCCTGCACCATCCACTGCAATCACATCAAAACTCATTACAGTTGTTGGTAAATAGGGAGTATTTACAGGCTGTTGACTTTTAATATCAACATTCAGTGGGCGAAGAACGCGCAGTTCACCGTCACGTGTCATTTCAAAGAAATGACGTATCAACTGGTTTGTAGAATCTGGTGCAAAACTATATGTGATTTCAGCATTTTTACCCTCGTCAGCGTCTGTTGCATGCACACGGAGAATTGTCTTACCGACAGGAAAATTCTCTGGAATCGATCCAACCTTATGATTAGGCAGTTGAGGTTTATACAACGACTGAGTAAATTTCGGACTATTATCATTCACATCAGTAATATTTACATGGATATACAGACGACTACTCAACGGGATTGAACCTTCATTATTTACAGCTAATATGATTAAATCCCAACCTTGTGGTTTCGCTTCACGATCCAATGTATGCCTTGCAGTTAGAAATAGACGTTCATCACCGAAATGATTCATATCAACCTTTTCGGTAACTAATTCAAACATGTCTGTGGCGCGTAATTTCAAATTGTTCACATCATTTAGTATATATGAATGCATATTGTTATTATTATTATTATTATTACTATTACTCATTGTGTTTGAATCAGAATTTAATAATTGATAATTGATTTTAGCATTAATCCCAATATCCATGTCTTTAGCCAATGGGATAGACTGTTTCGTCCCTGGAGGATCATCATCTCGAAAATATACCGTGATCTTATCAATATTCCATTGTGGTGGATTATCGTTAATATCTTCTATAATGACATGAATTTGATAAATTTTCTGTGTATTATCGGTAATCGTTGCTATTCTCAGGGTAACTGTACAATCATGATTAAAATTTAATGAATTCATATAGTTTGAATCAAGCGCATATTCATTTTGTTGATTATTTAAATTTAAACTATTCAATTGATGCTGATTAATATTCATTTCATGAGATTTCAGCGGGCAGATTGTCTCACGATCAATCCGGTCACTGACAATGAACTGGAGTTCATTAACACCCAGATCAGTTTGTTTATCTAATGTAAGCCATTTAAAATCGAAGCAACGTACACCAGGATCTTTAATATTTAATATTCTTGGTTTTTGAGTAAAATTCTGTCCTTTACCAATATTATTGTTATTACTTAGACTTAAAAATAAATTACCCAGCTTTGTACCAGAGGCAATCACAGTACCGATAGGTAATTCTTCAAGAATTGTAAATTTCAACTCATCTTCATTTTGTATTATTCCCATTTCATGAATTGATGAGCATAGGATTAGAAATGATAGAAAACTTAAATTGAAAAATATTTGAAAATATGTTTTAGACATTCTATAGTTTGATAATGCATTGAACTGGTGGATGTTTCAACTCTTCATCATATTACCGATTGATTGTTTTTTATACACAAGTCATGACTTGGCATTGATTTGTATAGAAAATTATTAATGTAGATTTTGCAGAAGTATTCCTTCGATTTGCAGTAGATTGCTAAAGTGTAAGGAAAATGAAAAAGGGTATTTTAGTGTAGAAATTATTCGACATTTAAGTGATTTATTATCAAGTCTGATCACGAAGTAAATTGAGTTACAGAACCACTGGAAACCATGTTGTTCAGGACAGTTGTCTCGTCCTTGTTTGGGACTCTTCATCAGTTGGCAGTCACCATCCCATTGTCAGAGATCCAGCCCATGACCTTTGGATTACAAGACTAGGTCGTCGTTGACTATCCAGCCATCGTGGAGGAATCCAATGGCCCACAAATTTAGGGCTGACTGGCTGACGAGCTGGCTTTGTGACCTGATGTTCCTGAGTTCTATCTCTGGTTGGGTGGTGGATGCATACTGATGAAGAGTTCCAAATATGCGCGAAACAATCGTCCGATACTACTTCATTTTCACTGGTTCTCTAACCAAAGTCATTTTGTAGTCAACTTTAAGGTTATCTGCAGGCAACAGAAGAATATATATTTGTTACTTGGCAAAATAAATCGCAATTTTTATTTACAAACTCTGTAAGCACTTCAGTTCAGTTCAACTCACAGTTATTCTACCTTAATGTCTGAATACTAAGCTGTTGATTAGTGAAATCTCTTGAAATAGATAGTCATACCTGATAAATTTTGTACATCTATTGAGTGTCATTATTACCTGTTGTCAGGATGTTATTGTCATCGTGTAAGCAAAAGCTTTCAGGTTATAACCACATAGAAAAGACGCCGTAAGTACAGCCATCAGACTTCCAGTGAACATTGGAATCACAATGATCTATCAGTTAATGACGGTCAGCTTAATAGATCCGTTCCAGTTGACAGATCATTCATGAGCGTATTAGTCGGAGAAGTTCGTAATTCATGATAATATAAAACTGAGCAAAAGCTGGTGAATTGTGATGAGTGGTTAAAATGATTAGTTGTATACCGCTCACATCAACCAGTAGTACTTACTAGCCAGGCAGATTGAAGTGATCTATACATTGGACGGTCATCTCTCTAACTTTGGGCGTCGAGGTCATCAGCAGTGTACTTGATCTGACTTAGTCAAGAGAGCCGAATCAATAGGGAAGATTTGTAGCTCAGGTGGATGATTTGCAATTACATTACATTACCTAACAGAATCATGCGACCATTCTATTAATTTGTCAATCCAATTTTTAGAGAAGATCAAAAACATTCAAGTAGAAGACAATGAAATAATGGTGTGCTTTGATGTCACAGCATTATATACTCCAATTAGTTAAAAACTAGCAACAGAAACTATGCAACAATTACTCTATAGTGATGAAAACATAAAAACGCAATGTTCAACTTGGATATAACTCATAAAATTATGCCTTACAGCACGCTTCCAATTCAATACCCAAATATATGAACAAATAAAAGGAACACCAATGGGATCGCCTATATCAGGATTAATAGCTAAAGCCGTTATGCAAAGATTAGAATTAATAGCTCTACCTAAATCGAAAATCTGGATACGTTACGTAGATGATACATTTGTAATAATTAAGAGAAATGATTTAGAATATACCCATGAATTATTAAACAACATATTTGAAGACATTAAATTCACAAGAGAAGAAGAATTAGATAACAAAATCCCATTTTTAGATATCTTAATCAGGAGAACCAACACAGGAGATTTAGAAACACAAGTATATAGAAATAGAAAGTATATAGATCAAATATTCAACTATACTAGCAATAATCCAATCACTCACAAAACAAACTGTGTGCAGACATTGTGTAAAAGAGTTCAAACACATTGTAGCACTCCAGAGTTGAAAAGAATGGAAGAAAAATACCTACAAACGGTCTTCAAAAAGAATGGTAATCCACAAAATTTCATCAAAAGTGTTTAAAGTCGAATCAAAACACCAACAAGAAACCATCATCAAAGACCACAAGAAAATTCATTCTACCATACATGAGAAATATCTCTGAAATAACAACTAGAATACTGAAACCGTTAGATATAGATATAGCACACAAACCAGTAAAATCGCTTAGTTCGATATTATGCAAACCGAAAGACCCAACAGAAAAAGAAGATAAAATTAATACCATTTACAAAATCAATTGTATGACCTGCAACAGACATTACATCGGCCAAAGTGGGAGTTCTCATTATTCGAAAAAGAGAAAGACAAAACCGAAGCAACGGAAAAACAGCTAACCGAGATCTTGAGAAAGCTAAAGACTGATCAAGTTATCTCTGAAAATGTCTTCGAGAGCATTCCACCCACAGGTTCAATAATACCCCGTCTATACGGATTGCCAAAAACTCATAAACAGGGTCTTCCACTGCGCCCTATTTTGGACATGTCGGGATCTCCATATCATCCAGTAGCGAAATGGCTAGCAGAACTCCTACAACCTGTTAGAGAACGAATTTCAAAACATTCTCTTCGGGATACCTTTGAACTCATCGATTGCATCAAAGATGTTAAAGTGGGAGACAAACGTATGATTTCACTCGACGTCGAGTCTCTCTTTACAAACGTCCCTATCACTGAGACGATTTGTTTTCTTTGCAAATACTTGGAAGAAAACAACCTGGATATTGGAATACCTACCACCAAGCTAAAAGAACTCCTACTCAGATGTACCCTAAATGTCCAGTTCACATTCAATGGGAACTTCTATAGACAACAAGATGGCGTGGCGATGGGATCACCTTTGGGTCCGGTGTTGGCTGATATTTTCATGGCAAGTTTGGAAAACGGTCCGCTGAAAGCAACCATCGACAAATTCTTCTTATACAAAAGATATGTCGATGATACTTTCGTCATCTGCGATCACAATTGTGATCAAAATATTGTTCTTCAAGTTTTCAATAGTTGCCACCCTGCCATCAAATTTACAATCGAAGTAGAAACCAATGAGACAATCTCCTTTCTGGGCGTTCATCTAAGTAAGAAGACCGATGGTACCTTGAACAGATCAGTACACAGAAAACCTACATGGAACGGTCAGTTGACAAACTTCTACAGTTGGGTACCAATAAGTCGCAAGCGAAATTTGATAATATCTCTGACGACTAGAATCCGAAAAATCTGTAGTCCTGAATCAATAGAGGAAGAGATCACCCTCTTAAGGAAGACACTGCTCGAGAATGCCTACCCACCCCGTTTTATAGACAAGCACATTAAGCCTAAGACGTACAAAGAACAACCCATTACAGTGCAGAAGAAGATGGTCTACATGAATGTACCCTTCAAAGGTGACCTTCTGGCTGACACCTTGAAGAAGAGGATATCTACTGCTCTCAGAAGGACATTCTTCGCTGCCACACTACGACTGACATTTTCCTCCTGGCTATTGTTCTTCAACTACTCTAAAGATAAACTGTCGCATTTGACCACTTCCATGTGTATCTACCAATTCACCTGCTCTTGCGGAGCGAGGTATATAGGTCGTTCGATGCGTGTTTCATCTAAAAGAGTTCAAGAACACTATCCCGCCTGGCTACGGAAAGGTAACAACGGAGCAATAAGGAGCGCCATTATTGAGCATATACTCAACACTGGTCATTCGATTTGCAAGGAGAAGTCGTTCAAAGTCATCTATAAAGTCAAAAGAAGCCTTCCAAAATCGACAAGCTTCCGTATACTTTGTATTGCTGAAGCCTTAGCGATTTGGATGGAAAAGCCTGAGTTATGCACACAGAAGAAACTTCTCCACCCCCTCCTACTACCGTTGGTTTAATTTCAAGTTTATCTGTCATCAACATTTTGTTATCAAATTTTTTTGCAACTTTCGTATAATAATTTTTAGTAACTAACCCATTCAATCTTTTCACCTATTATCTAGTTTATTTTCATAATTGTCTCCAAACTCCTTCACTAGCATCTAGTCTTTCTAAACGTGTCTATATTACGTAACCCTACTCACATCTTACCAATCTTCACCCCACTTAGTTACAACTTTGATTATTAATCACACATTTTAACTTCTTCATTATTTTGATGGCATAATCAACAATCCACACTAACTGTTATTTTGATTTTGACAAACCTAATGTACATACACACACACACAAAATAATTGTATATATATTTGTGACTGTACAGCTAAGTGAATGAATTCGCCGAAAAGAGACTCTTCGCTGAACTAATTTGTCCTTATTTCAAAGTGGGAGTCCCTAGAGAATAAGAATCCAAGATCATAAATTAGCTGTAAAAAGACATGATATGTATTCTTTAGTATCAGTGCATATAGACAATTATGGACATCAATTTCATTGGGATAATGTCAGAATCTTAGACAGAGAAAACACCAAAAGTGCAGTCAGGGAATTCCTAGAAGCCTGGTACTCAAACGAAAATTCACTTAACAAACACGTTAATATAGATGAAATATACCAACCAATGAAAAGTAAATCAGGTGACCAGAAAGTTTCAAATCCAAGTCAATAGAAAATGGTCAATACATATGTAAAGATGGTTACCAGGAGACGCGATTATATCACTCATGAAGAAATTAAAATCATTTCACTTTATGCTAAATATTGCGCTGAAGGGGAATGTTGTTCAGAAGGACGACGAAAGCTCCGCAACTAAACCAACCGGCCTAGAGAACACTACTACTAATTGCAGAGCCGAATCAGTTCAAACCACCGGAACTCTACCTGGCTACCTACGCAGACTGGTTATAAGTTATATCAAATTAAAAAATTTACACAGTTTGAAGTGAAATTCCCCACGACTTCCTTCAGAAATCAGGCTTATTCAGATCACAGTGTGTAATTTACTTGATACCATGAATGGTAATCAAGATAGTAGGCATAGATGCATAGATGTAAGCACTACTGGTCGATGTAAGTGCTATCCA